GCAAAGCTGGAGCACAATATTTAGTCATCTATTTTTTATTTTTTATATTGGAACATTTTATATATTGGACTTTTGAGAAGGCATAACAGAATGCGAAACAGTAAAGAAATTCAACACCACAGTGAACCATTGAGATATTTTTTTTTTAAGAAAGAAAAACAGCAGGATCAGCTTTAAGTGCTTACACAGTCAAACGTGCAAGTGTTTCCCATCTTTCTTTGATGGAAGGCTTGTGCACAACACTTTCAGACAGTCAGAACTGCCAATTAAAAAGTGTTCATGCTGGCTGATTTAAAATCAATGATGATTAGAGTGAGGGAGTTACATAAAGATTTAATGGCCATCATCCATCCCCCCATTAGCCTGTTGTTGTGCAGCTAAAAACACACACACATTGTAATGAATATGCTAAACTGATGCCACTGCCTGTCAAGATAGTGATGGGTTTGCCATTTTTGGATAAGTATGGTTCCTAAATACAAGCAACATGTGCGCTGGTCTCTCTCCATCACCTCACTGTTTATCTCACTTGTTCTGACACTCCACATATTTGTCCGTCCTCTTCTCACAAATTTGAGAGAGGGAGGAGAAAGTGTTACACATGTATGTGAAATGCATGTACACTTGTGGCTGTGAATAAACAAACATTATTATCAGGAAAGGAGCCCCTTTTCACCTACTTGGAAAAGTGTAGTTGTTACTTTTGTGGTCAATATGGAAACAGAGACATCAGATTTTTCTGTGTCATTGCACCTTTTCTGTCTATTTCTCTGTCTCTCCTTTCCCTATTGCTATCTCTCGCACACACATCACAGAGACACATGCAGCCATAAACCATTATACCACCTTTCATAAATGGGTGCAGAAGCACACAGCTCTTTCCTGCATAGTGCACCTAGCGTCTGGATTCTGGAAATCAATTTACACCGGCACAGGATGCTTCTGCCCACACAGCTCTCCAACTCAGGATCAGGAACACACACACACACACACACACACACACACACACACACACACACACACACACACACACACACACACAATCATGCAGTCGTTCTTTTACACGTGCTCACCAACGCGTACACCAGTGTGCACGTATAAAAACAAATTATTTTCTCATATGTCACCCATAAGCAGAGATAAAGAGGCACACACATCTACATACCCACCCTTTTCTCTCCAGGATGATTCATGTATTTTAAGGGTTTGCTGTTTAGAGTGGGTGAGCATGCTATTGCAGATGTTCCACAGAGTGGGTTGGCAGGATCAGGGCCAGAGGACAAAAACAAACAAAAAAAAGAAGATGCAGGAAGAGGAGGAAGAAGACCTTCACAATATCTATTTTGCCTTGAGTAGTAACCTGTGGATGGCAGACTTTTCAGAAATACGACATATTTTGCATATGTATATTCTTAAAAACTGGGAATCCACATATCAAAACGAAATCTATTTTCACCCCTTCATGTGCTGTGATCTGAAAACACAGGGTGTTCTGTGGGGGAGGGGGTGTTGAAACCGAGCAATGTTTTGCCTCCTGGTTACTGACAAAAAAGAAAGAAAACACATCACTGTATGAGTTAAATAGAAAAATACCTCTGTGTTTGTTGCATCTGGTCAGTGATAGTCATCAATCACAGACAGAAAATAGATAGATGGAAAAAAATAACAGTTATTCTCATTTGCAAATTAGCAGATTTAATTAAAAAAACATATATATTTTATGAATTTCGGATCATATATCATACCATCAAACTTATTTTTTCAAATAAATTCTTCATTGGGCCATATAAAAGCAATATCTGATTATCTGTGCTACATTAGTTCTTAATATTGTGGGGTCAACTTGAGTGATCAAAACCCTCTAAAATACTGCACATCTTCTTTAAATGCTATTCCCATCCATCTGCCACGGACTCGGAGGTGGTCAATGCTTTGTACTGCCAGTGACATTAATAACACCATAGGAGATTCGAATGCCCCTTTTCCTCCTTCTCCGTCCTATTTTCTCAGCTTCCTGCAGTTTTCTAAGCGCTAATTACTGTGTTTATTCTTACTTGCGTCATGCTGTCCAAAAAGATCGCCTTTCTGGAAGCAATTATGCAAAAGCAAACAAATGCCCTGTCAAGAAAATGAAGCTTTTTTTTTTTTACCCACCTGAAGTAGGGACACATTTGTTTACTCGTTTAATCTATTTTTCCTGCGGTTTTAACATTTCTTTTTTTTTTTAAGAAACAAAGAATATTTTACAAAGTAATACATTTTGGATGCCCCATTAAGCGGTGGGGGTAGGGGTGGAGGTACAGGTAGTATTTTCAGCCTGCCTGTGACGGCGCTAAAATAATGTTTTCTCCTCTAAAATGAAAAGTGCTCAAGCGCTATCAAATATAAAAACACACAACATCTGAAATTATAATATTAAAGAAGCTCTGGGACCTGTAAGATTTTGTGCTTATACCTCCCAGTTAACAAATATTTTTCAATTCGTTTTAATTATTGAGCCCAAAGAAAGTGTTTTGTTTTTTTTATTACTCAGTAAGCTTTAACTTCATTTTAGTACAAAGTAGTGTTAAGTAACATCTTTAACAAAAGGGTTCAAATGTTTAATCAAACTTTTAAAGGTTATATTCTGATTTATATGACTGTGCTTCAATAACACTCAAATTAAATGCTTTGAGTGGGGTTTTTAAATGTCTTTCTCTGAATGAAGCAAAGTTTTCAGAATCAAGTGTAAATTTAACATGGGATTATACCTTTTATATGAAGCATTTAGTGTCATTTACTTGATATAGACCCTTCATACATTCATCCATCCATCCATTTTCATCTGCTAATCTTTACAAGGTCATGGGGGGTGGAGCCTATCCTGACTACCACAGGGCGATAATTTGGACCTTTAGAATTAAAGTGGTACCAAAAGTAAATCACAATTATCACCACATAGCTGAGAGACTGCAAAATCAAATTATGAGTTCTGTGCTCAAAACAGCATTTGGAACAGTCGTTCTAATTTAGCACAACTCAGATTTATTTATTTATTTTTACTATTACGATAACAATTATTTGCTGCAGCTTAAATCAATACTGTGGTTTTGACTTATGACCTCTGATTATGATTAAATTGGATTTAAAATGGGTGCTGAGGCTTTGTGCGCCTCTCTGCAAGACACAAGTCTACTCAGTTGTACCTTGTAGATAAGTAGGGGGTTTGATAAACCCAGTTCAAAAGGACCACATGTTCCCTCCCAGAGTGTAATCCTGCTCTGTGGCCCAGTGGTTTAATCCAAAATCAAATCCCTCCTGAGGTGCCAAGCAGCATAAAGAAGGCTTTTATGAATCATTGCTCCAAGACTGACAAACTGAGGGAAATACACATATACAGTATTTGTGGGAAGCCACTATGGCAGCATATAGGTGGCTGATGGGCTGGCTAACAGCCCGTGCGCTCCTGCAGTACTTGTAAGTCAATGAACTCCATGCTGTGCCAGAGCCACTGGCAAAATAATAATAACCTGATTTTTCCAGGTCTACAGTAGACGCACAAGCTCTTAGAGTTAATTATGAAATCCTTGATAGAAGACTTGCAGCTACTTACCCAAAAGTTTTAATGATGCAGTAGTTTTCCTGCTGTGGGGAAAGTTCATCACTGAGTTCTCATGGGAAGGTGCCTGGATGCTCTTCTTTTTTTTTTTTTTTTGTACTAGAGAACCATATGTTGAGTGGGTTTATGTCTTTGCTAATAAGTGGTGTCTGAGTTTAAAAGCTGAAAATAAAGTGAAAATGATACAGAGCACAGTGGCAAAGAAATCCCTAAAGGCAAAATTTCTACAGGGAAGAAAATCCAAGGAGTGCTCAGCTCCGTGTCACACAAGCTGGCACCATTAAAATTGGCCCTTATTTATCTAGCCTGTTACTGCCTTCAAAAAGCCTTTTTTTAATTTTATGGCTGGAATGCCAAAGCAAAATGTATCCACAATAAAATGACTAAGTAATGCTAACACTGCATTATATTAATAGTGATATAAGAAGAAACGTGTCTAATTAACAGATTTGTTAACTATGATTTAAAGAGTTAGATTGCCATTCGCCCTTTAGAGCTACATCAATAAAACAAAGTTGCACATCCCGGTGATGTCACTTAAACTAACCACAGCACCTATGCTTGACTTGAAAATTATAGCATTTCCATTTAGCAAATACAGAATATTTTTCTGGTCCTTGGGTTTCAATTGTAGTAAATATTACCGTGAAATATAATAGGAATGGGCATTTTTTTATTTCCAGCCCTGAGTCATTGTTGTTACAGAAAAAACTAACACAATAGTTTGCAGGTCATCATTATACCTCCCAGCATTTGGTTTAATCTGTTATTACTTTTTCTATAGTTGCATTTTTCACCCCAATTTTATGGTTATTGTTGCAAAGAAACTACCACAAATGCTTCCAGGTAATAAGCCACAACATCAAACATATAATATTTACTTTATTACATTCAAACAAAGGGGGGAGGGGCAGGAGGAGGGGGGGGAGTTAAGGCTATAAAGTAGCTTTAATTTCTGTATTATAATATGGTCATAGTGTCCTAATAAGTAAAAACATCTGTACACAGATTATCTCTGTAATCCTGACAGATTACTATACTACCTAAACAAACACTTTACAGTACAAACTACTGTTACTAAATGGTTCTGTGCATTTTATACATTTCAGTCAGAGGATCAGCTTAAAATCAAGGTTGATACAAGTATTACCTGGTTATTACCTTGTAATTACATGTAATTAAATGTTATTACCACCACAAGTCTGAAGTGGCAGTCCTGTTTCTTCTATGCTAACTAATGGCAGCAGCGTCATATTTGGTGTACAGACATTAAAGTGGTATCAGTATTCCTCTCTAACGCTACACTAGAAAAAAAAGGAAAAAAATGTGCTCCTGACCCCGAATGTCGATCTCTTGAAACTTAGTCTATAGTTTTCAAACTGAATAGTTTTCTTTTGTGTGTATGTTTGAAGTCAGATCACAAAAGATGTTAAAAAAATAACATTTCATGAGACATGCTGTGTAAAAGTAAAGTTCAAGATTTTATAACGTAATTAATTTATGATACGTCATTCAGTTCACACAAGTCAGCTTATTCATGTGCTCAAAAAATGAAAGTTAAATTGACATATTTTAAGAACTGTTGAGGAACGCGCTAACTTTTTAGATGATGCGCATGAAAGCACACTGTGTTGGTCAGGTGGAGTATTTAAAAGGGTGTTTTTTTTTAAAAAACACCAGATCACGTTGAGATGTCAACAACCTTCGAGTGTCCCGATAAGGAAGAAAGTAGGTGGCTAATGTTTGACAAGACTGTTGTGATGAAGGATCAAAGGTCCCAGTCTGTTTTTCTGTCACAGCCTCTTTCACACTTGAGAGGGATTTCTGTCTGGGAGAGAGCATATTTCATGAGGGTGAGTGTGTCTCTGAAAATACTCAATAAGTCAGTGGATTTTTACAAACTACTTTCAAATACTATGCACGTTAAATCCAAAGGCACCACGTCATCTTCATCATCGTGATGGAACTGGCCTTTTATCCGGCGCTGGCACTGATGTATTTCTTTGGAGTGATGAAGGCCGCGAAGGATGACCGGGTGGAGCTGACCGACCACGCGTCGATGAACGTGTTCTGTCTGTTCGTGCTGGCACAGCCGCTGTGTCTCATAATCGGTGGATACACTGGCATGGCTACTTACCTTCTCACCGTTCTGGTATCCTACAACTTCCTGCCATGGAAAAGCAGCACAAAAAAGCAAGCAAAAGAAAAAGACTCAGAGAAGAAGACAAAGTGAGAGGCAGAAACACACATTACATGGAAATACCAAGAAAGTGGATTCAAAAGGGGACTGGAAAGTATTTAAATAAAGAAAAAAATTATAAATAAATAGCTATTTTACAACACATTATGTGTGATTTAACCTATTGTCATAAATCTGTTGTTTTGTCTGCAGTTGTAATGATCTGTGACAAAGTATCTGTATTTTCATACACAAAGTGACCCATTTTATGATTCTTGATGTAGATGATGTTGTTGTAAATACATTCAGCTGGGTGACTCAAGAGCCACAAGAGAGAAAATTGCAAACAAAAGGAACATTAAATCCAAAAAAACTTCACCAAGTGAAAAAATATACAGAATAGTGCACAGCACAAACAGAGCTATCCTTGAAATCAATCGTTTCTAGACCTACTGGCTGGGAACTTTTCAAATAAGTTGCATACTTACTTCCACACCTTTATGATCAGGTTAGATGAGAGGAACATGGGAACGGGGCAAACTAGCTAGTATGTTGTGCAATCTGTTGTTTCGTTTGGGGGGGGTTCCCTTTCTTTTTTCCATTTTCTTACAACATTACAGATAAATAGAGAGCCATAAAGGTATCTTTGGACTGATTCAACCTAGGTCTTTATGCTAAGACTCCATAACAAGCCATCTAACAATTAATGATGGTGGAGCTCCGGTTAGAGATCCTTTCCCCAGATTAACTTAAATTGTATGCAATAAGCAAAAGTTGGAGCTAGGGTCATAAAGCTCACAGCAACCTTAATAAGTTGCCCATAATACTGATTTCCCTGTCTCTCATGGAGTTAAGGAAACTGGCAAGATAAGTACTGTAGATATCATGAACTTAACCCATGGTTGGGTTTTTTTGGCCTTTTTCAACATTATTGACAGACAGTAAGAGGAAAGCAGAGGGAGAGCGTCACCTGCTCAACACTGAGTCAAACCAGCGCCCCCTTAGCCCTAAACCCATCGCCTGCTTCGTTGCATGATGCTTCACGTTAAAATTGATTCAGTCAACCACTCACTTTTTTTATTTACCACATTTTACAAGACTTAGTTGTTGGTTGTTGGAAGAATTAACAGTGAAGTGCTCTATTCTCAGCTGCACTGATTACACCAGGCGCTGTCACATCTTAGCCAAATTAAATAGTCAGAGGTCACAGTTACGCACTGGAGATAATTATGGCGACAGGAGGATAGCATATTCTAAAATAGTTTCAGGTCTTCATCACAGCAAAGGGGAAATCATCAAAGGAGTTTGGGCTCATCATAATGGTTTGAGGTAATTGTTGTATAACTGTAGAGGCGCACTGTGGTCTCAGGACAGCAGCCACTAAGGGAAATCAGAACCTGTGTGGAACAGATCTTCTTATTCGACTCTTGGCAAGAAGTGTACTTCTCAAAATGAAAAATTGTTCCTTTAAAACTGAGAAAATGATTCAGTGAACATCTCCGAATTATAATTACATTGTTAATGTCATAATATGAAGCCAATTAGCTCTGGACTGTAAAGTTTGTCAGTGACAAACAAAGAAAGCGTTGGATTTCACCTATGACAGTGACACTGAATGTGTCTCTGGCCTTATAGCTGAGTCATTTCTAGTGAACCTGCCTACTTGAATATGACTAATCTGTCAATTAATTAAGTATTCAGTATATTATACACTCATGAACAGTGTTTCACAAAAGCTCCCACTAAACATAATTATTAAATCAGCACTGTGCTTTTTCCGTCTGTGTTCATGAATGACTGAGTGTCCCTCTGATGTGAATAAGCCTGGTACCACAGAGCGTCGGGGTGTGCGTAAACCCGGACTCAAAGAAAGAGTGCATAATGGGATTAGACTGTGGTATATGGGTGATAGTCCAAGGCTGTGCTCAGTGGGTGCACAAATGTGCAAATGCTTGCTGTTTGAGTGAAAAACAGTGGTTTGTTTTTTTGCAGGAAAAGAAGTTTATTAGTTCTTCAGCGCTAATATCCTCAGTTCACGACTGTCTCTCAGAGTACCTCTCACTTATTTCTCTTCCCAAGTGTGAATTTATGTAGAGTGAATAAGGTTCTAACCTAAAGTGTCAATCATTCGCTATAAAGGCTCTAATTCCACAGTTATTATCCGTATATATGTTCTTTCAAGGTATAGCATTAGCAAATTGTTCAGCTTTTGCGCTCCACACATTTGTTCAGTTTCCTATTCAATATGTGTGGAGCATGTTCTCAGTTTACCTCCCTTAATGTCACACTGGAGGTGCTTCCTACTGCGTCTTCATTTTATTTAAAATAATAAGCCTGCAGCTTCCCATTTATTGTAACCCCTCCCCCCCTCAACATGATTCTTCTTCTTCCCCAGCCAGCACTCAAAACCAAACTCCTTTCTTTCTTGTGTTTCATCTTCTGTCTCAGTCTTAATCCTTTTCCACAGTTGGGCTCGTTTCCATAATGTCGCTCCTCCTCGCTTGCATTATCATCAAAAAGGGGGGGAATCTAATAAATTATATAATAAAGTGTAATTTCTGTTATTGTCTATTTAGGATCAGTCATATAAAGTAAGGTTTTAAGAATTCAGTTGGAAAAGTGTGTGTGCTTCATAAGTGGCAGCTCATAACACACTGAGCAGTTGCGACAATGTCGATTTTAGTTCTATTTATTATTAAAACTGAAACAAAAGCACCTTTCATGCTGGTGAATGTGTATCATACATTAGCTTTGTACTTCAGGCATATTCAGTTTGGGCTCTGTTTTGGTTTCCACTGATTACCAAGGAAAATGTCTGGGTCTTTAGCTAAATTATCCACTATGTCTATGCTAACAGGCAGCATCAAGCTGTGGTTTGGCAGGTGAACAGTACTCATGTATGAGCCTTTAATTTAAATCCCTTTTAAGATATGGGGAGTTGGACTGCGCAACTACTGCTGCTGGTACTGTGAGGCTCACCTGTGAAAATAAAGACAGCATTAGTCAGAGTTTTAGGTGTTTAAAGCTTTTGTAACACAAGCAGAAAATGTTAAAGCTGACAGGAATATCAGTAGTTCTGCAAGTATTTCCTTACTGTAAAAATCAAAGAGTTGAACTGAGAATGTCTGCAACGCCCACAGATTTCTTTCTGCAAACTGTGGAAAGTGACAGACCAGCCAAGTGGCCCACTGACACTGCCATTATTGCAAAAACCCAAGGTTACTGTGATACTGGAAACTTTCATTTTGTTTTACCTACCAGTACACTCTGAATATAGAACACAGCTACACTCTCGGGGTATTTGGCTGAGTTTCATATTGTGTTTTTTAGTTACAAGGTGATGAATATTGTAGGACAGAGACTGATGGATCAGCTAGTGAAAACAGACTTACTGGAACGTTGAAGTGTAATGAAACAGACGGAGGCATTCAAATGAAATTTCAGCAGTTTGCTGTATGAAGAGAGCAGATGGAGCACATGCAGCTGGGATGTGACAGGGTTTGTGTATGGATGTTTATTTGTTTGTGACTGGCATCGTCAAATGGTTTCTGCCTCCTCTGAGGCGTTAATGGCCATCGTACATCACAGTGCTTGTGTCTCCCATCGCGGCTGGGCCAGGCGCAGCCCGACACAAGTTAATGATCAGAGTTTGCAAAGGAAATGAAGATTTATGAGTTTTGGAAATGCATCTCTATCCCTGAAGTAGAAAGAAATGAATCTAGTTGAAAAACATGCCCTCCCATGTCTACATTTCATCGTCTACAACCTGTTGGTCTGTTTGTACTGAATGATCATAACTCCTCTCCCATCTGCAACGTAAGAGATCCTTTGGTCTTTCATATCAGACAGATTCGAGAGCTAAGAAGTTAGAAAGCTGGGCAAATATGATAACTAATAACAAAACTAAGTGTCTGATAATGAGTTTCATCTTCTCCAAAGGGACTTTTGATATTTCTTTATGATCCACAATAGAGCTTTGGTAACCTTTATTTAAATTATCCTTTGAAGAATGCTCATTACTCATTCGTCAAGCTTAGTGTGATATATCTGGTACAGGAATACCACATAATCAGCATATTCTTACATTTGAAGGGCTAAAATCAGTGAATGTTGATGACATTTTGCTTGAAAAACTACTCAAAATGCGTACAGAAGAAGTCTAAAAGATCTGAGCCGGATGCACAAACATTACATCGCATTGAATTCAAAACCACAAAATGCACTTGTTTTGAACTGATTTATTGTCTTGAGGAAACACTGGATCCTTCTTTAAATATTTATTTACATTATTTACAGTTCAAACCTATTTTACATGGGTTGGTTGCATGCACATTATCATATATATATAAAAAAAAAAGTACAGATATTTACAGTCATTTAAGAGGGAGTAGTCTGTGCAATAAAAGGCACACATGACCTTTGACCCTGCATGAATGTCCCATAAGTACATTTTTCACAGACACTGCCACATATTGTGTTACCATGCTACACACACCAGGAGAAAAAAAGCACTCGAGCCGCTGCAGAGGAGACGTGTGTTGGTGTGTGATAGAGATTCACTGACAAGCAGCAGAGCCGTAAAGTGCCCTCTTGATTGTGCCTAGACACGATCCTATCCTCTCAGCAGCCTGAGGCAAAGTTGAAAGTCTTTTTCAGCCATAATGATAAAGCAAGCAGAGACGGTGACTCACTAAGAACAGAATTCCACAATCTGTAGGACAATCTACAGTCATCAGAGATTCAGGATATTTGGCGAATGATTATCAATGTCCTACGTGCACCTTCTGTTTGATAAGGCAGTAAGGCCTGTTGGATGAGGCATGAGGCTAATGCTGAGAGACTGACTACTTGAGTTTTCCCCCCCCCCATACAGTCATAAGACGGCTGGGCTGGAAACAAAGGGCTAAAGGTGGTAATCACACGATTGGTCTGACTGGCAGCTTGACTCTCCAATCTGTTCTGTAGTCCTATGTTGAATTTTCTTGCCTGTGAAAACTAATAGATTTATATTCTGTATTCAGTCAATTCACCATTTGCTAAGCCCCACCACCAAAACAGCAACAGACCAAGTCATAGTTTCAAAAATGTAATAAGAAAAAGCGAATTTGGATTTGTAAACATGCTAAAACATTGTGAACGGGCCTCTACTGTGATCAATATCCTGTGTAAAGAGATAATAATAGTAGCACTGTCTATTTTATCCTTTACAGAAGTAAATGACAGTAGCAAGTAAGCAGTTTACCACCTACAGAAGTACCCTAGCATTATTTCCTAAACCAAATGACAATTTCACATTGTGTAGGGCTACATTACAAAAATACCTGTTCAGAACTGGAACAACTACAGCAATGAGAGCAAGGAGTAACAAAAGCAGCTCTGCCCTCATCTTTATTTGGTTTGGAGGGAAATGAGCACTGAAACCTGTTTTAAAGAGCATCAGATTTGCTCGCTGGGTTTTTGTTACATTTTCTGCAGCAAAAGAAAATGACCTTGCAAGAATAGATAAAAATAAATCAAACCACTGTGACGCCTGTCCAAGTATCTCCTTATATATAGCTGTGGATTTCCACAGCTATCAATATAAACTGTGAACATGTACCAACACTAACTTGTAGTGGGGCTCAGCAAATGGTTGTGTGAGCGCTTGTTTTGTTGTTTGCAGCTTTGCTTTTTTAACTAACACTGGGGGTGCTGCTTTTGGATATTTAATGTTTAACAAGATGTGCAACTAGTCGACTAGACATTTAAATATTGCTGCTCTTGCTAATCAGTGCTAGAAGTGCTAGTCAGTTAAATGTATTGTCCTTTTTTTCTTCATGTACAATGGCAATAACTGGTTCAAAGAACTTGCTGCGCCACCGTGGCATCTGGTGCTAACCATGCTAGCCAGTGCTGTTGTGCAGAATTTTAAAAAACTAAATTAAGAGAGACTGTATGTCAGCTTTGTCAGGATAAACTGGAAAGTAACCAGGCATCTGATGTGATGTGCAACGATATTGTGCACTGGAATGTGGACGCTAGGAAGAGCCCAACGTTACTGTAGCTAGCCCTGCTAAGGTTAGCCAAAGGTTAGCCACCACTGCAAAATACTTTTTTGTTTTTGCAACATTATACATGGCAGAAAGTGCTATACAGATAAGTAAATTTAAAATACTAACTGATAACAATTAAACATGATTAACGGTTTCATATAGCTCCACACAAAATATGTCTGGCCAATGTTATTTTATCTCATCTAACTTACTAGCAAAATTAGTCTTTAGGAAGATTCCTATTGATTACAGATTAATGGGTTCTACAGATTAAGCAACATATCAGCTGGAGCTATAAAAATCTACAACTTCTTCTTCCCATGATTATAAAAAAAAAGGGACAACAGGGATCTGTCTTTTTTATGACTGAATTATTATCTTACATAATATATCAGCAGAAACATTATTATTACTCATTTCTACCCCTACTACAGATCTAAATGGATGTCCTCTTTTCAGTATGTTTTTCATGGCTGGAGCTTTTCTTTGTAAACTGAGTCTAAAACATGGCTTAATTACATAGCTTCAAAACAGCCTTGTGTTCATTTTCAAAGTATGACTAAATCTAGCTATCAGAGATTCAGCTGAAGTCAGCCAATGAGAAAGGAGCGACACTTAATCTCAACGGCATCTCCTCTGTAATACGTGAAAAGGAATTGGCACAACTATTTACACATCGTCAAGTAATGAAGTGATGCTGAAGTACAAGTCTCAGAGTTTGGGGCAACTCAAGGTTGGGCTGATCCAAGGTCAGATGATAGTTTATTGCTTCTGCATGTTTATAATAACTCTCTGAGTAGATTTTATGCAGAGTCATCATTTTTGTATTGCATCTTTTGCGTGACGCATTAACAGTCAACAAGTCCAAATTCAGACATTTAGGAGATTTTGATTCAGGTGTACATCATTTAAATTACCCCTCCCCCCCAAAGGTGTTTCTGGACTTCTGATCAGCACCATCTGCATCGTTCAGAAAATGTACAAGCACAGGGCACCACAGAGAGTGCCTAAAGCTACAGAACTACAAGATCCTAGCATTAAATAGAAATATGGAGATGTTTTGAAAAAAGAGCTAAATCCTTTCTCAGCATTATTACCATGTGAAACACATCACCAACCTGGTGAGCAGGGTCAGTTTGGCTAATTGGCACAGATAAATACATAGTGTACGGTGGAGTCAAAGTATACAACTTGTTAGTTTGGGAGTTTAATTACCCCACTGATCACATTTTTCAACACTCAGTCCAGTTTTATATTCAAACTACTATACAAATACCCTATTTTGTACATATTTATGGTCAAAATTCAGTGCACATCTTCTTCTTTGGCCAAATTGGGAAGATGCTATCTTAACTGTGTACGCTCTGTACACAAAAGCACAGTACAAAGATAACAAGTAAAGGGAATCAGATGCAAAATCAAAACATGAAAATGGCTATTTTACAGACTGACAGTACCATTTTTCTCAAAGTAAAAAAATCTGTCAAACAAGGCATTTGTTTGATTCAAAAAGCTAGCTAAATTCACAGGGTCAAGTTATGACTAATATTATCCTTCAACCTTTACCTGAGTTTCTAATCATAGCAAAAATAACACCCAAGAATGCTTCATCATACTGACCCCATAAAAATGTTTGCATTCATTACAACCTCCCCACCTAAAAAAAAGAACTCCAAAACCCCGATACAGTGGCACACAAAAGTTTGAGCATCCCAAGAGATCTGAGATCTCAGACCTTAGTTCTGTCGTTTGAGCCGTGGCTTGATGATGATGCAAATTATTAAAGGCTTTGCAAATACTCATGCTCCAACACTAGAGCAGTCACTGTCCTCCTTCAGCAGCTGCCTAGCACGCTAAAAATGTAAATAATTGATGCCCACACAGCAACAGCTATAAGAAGATAGGAAAGTGTTTTTGAGGAGGCGGTCAGTTAGTAAACATAAATAAGAGATGGTGGTTAAAAGGAACGATGGATGGTTAAGTTGAGGTCTAGAAATCCTAAAGAGAAGTCTGGTGGACCGATGAAGTCACAACAGAAGTTTGCGGTCACAGTGTATAAAGACGTCTGGGGAGAGTTCAGGTGGTAAAGTGGGCTGTCTACCAATCAGAAAGTCAGTGGCTCGATCCCTGACTCCTTCAGTCCACGTGCCGGGAAAACCCTGGCCAAGATACTGAAGTTAGCCACAATGTGCCACTGGAGTGTGACTCTGTGTCAGTGGTAGAAAGTGAATTTTCTGAATGAAACTTGTAGAAAGCGCTTTGAGTGCTCAGTTGGTTGGATAAAAAAAATAAATACTTAAGTCAATAAATCGAGCTTTGGTCTTATGTTTAAGCCAGTGGCTGGGGAAACCTTTTTTTGCAAAAAAAACGCTAAAATAAAAATTTTACAAACATTACTTGCCAAGCCATTGGCACTAACAGACATTTTTAAAGGGGGTGCTCAAACTTCTGCATGTCACTGTTTTTGGAGTGTAAGCAGCTTCAAACTCATGTTGGACACATGAAACAGCAGCAGAACATACTCACGTATCAGAGCAGAGTTGATAGAAAGCCTGCTGAAAGCACTTCATACTCTCAGCACGCTTTTGAACGTGAACACTGTTTTATGATCCCAGCATCACTTAACTCAACTACATACTGTATGTCTCTGGGTCTTTTATAAGGAAAAGTGCACTAAATCACCAATATATTATTTTTTTTAACAAACCGAGTGATATTGCCTAACTGAACGAAGCTTAGCTGTAATACTAAGAGAGTGTGAATTGTGTGTTGCTGTTTTTTTGTAATTGAACGGTAAGACATCTATGTGTTAAAAGAAGCTCTTGTCATTTTGGAGCAGTACAGGAAAAGTTAATAAACAGATGTGAATGCTTGCCATTTTAAGGATTATAAATCAGAGGTGTCAGACAAAAAAAAAACAAAGGAGATTTTTAAATGACTTTAAAGAGTCGCTGTCACCCGTCGACGTGTATGGACGTGTACGTTTGTCTCAGTGGAACATGGCAGTGCTGAATCCGTTTCATTAAAGAGACACTAAATCAACACAGTGAGGGACGCCAGGACCTATCAGGCAAGATGGATAACCGAAACATCCTCTGAAATTGTCTATTTGTGTGTGTCCACAGTTTGTGCATATGTATGTGCTGCCCACACACATAATCTGCCACATAAACAGATTTGTACATCAGTGCACAGGTATAGGAAGTTTATTCCTGTCTGTAAGTATAGCAGCAAATAGTGGGTAGAAGAAAATTGGGATGTTAATAATAAATCCCTCTCAGTTATGACCTACTTTCACCCAAGTAATCTTGCCTGAAAAGCTGGTGAGAGCTGCGAGACCTCTAATTAAATTGGCTTCCTGGAGAAGTAGCTGGGAAAGAGGTGGACTCCTCAGTAAGGCTGGTCAGTCTGACACTCTTACTAACCTCAAAGATCAGAGTGGAGCAGGAAAAAAGGCCGGGGGAAACGAGTAGCGCTCCTATTATGCTTTGCGTCGAGGATAAATGGCAGGTATGAGCCACACACACTGAAGGTTGGTTTGGATAATGATCTGGCTCTCTGCCCTCGATGCGGCACTCAAGAATGTGTGAGGAGCGTCTTCTGTTTGTGTCGTGTGCATCTGCAGGGGTGTTTCTTATTTTTGCCGCAGTTAGCACTTCACAGAGCAGATAATAAAGTCTGTTCGGGTCCTCCAGGACCAGTGCTACCTCGGTTGTGCTACTGGACGTGTTTCCTATTTGCAAGGTCAGCAGCCAGACAGTCTGATAACCCGAGGCCCACAGAGGACAAATCCACACAGAGACCAGGAGCTACTCAGAGCATTAAAGAAAAAAAGACTTCAA